CGGCTTACAAGCAAAGAAGTGAAAGATACATCAACTTAAAAGTGAAACCTCGCTCATTCCGAGTTGGTGAACTTGTACTTAAAAGAATCACTGGAGCGGATCCGGGGCCTTTAAAACCGAAGTGGGAAGGACCGTTCAAGATAAGTTAAGTACTTCCAAAAGGTACCTACCGACTTGAACGACCAAATGGAACTCCCCTGCAATACCCTTGGAATGTTCTTTATCTCAAAATAATACTCCAGTAATGTAAATATAACTCTGTACACTCTTTTGACGAAAAGAAGAAAATTGTGTGCTATTGAGTCTCTTAAAATTTTTACCGAGTTCTTTAACTCGGTAGGATGTTAACCTTTATTCTACCAAGTTTTTCAGCTTGGAAAAGGCTAGCATCATCACTTTAAATTCTTACTATAAATAAGGGAAAGTCTTTACTATAACCGAGCTTTATAACTCGGCGAGACTAATACCCCTTCGGCCAAACTAAATACCTTAAACAGACAAAGTTATATAGTTTGGGAAGGTCAAGGGCTTACTTTAAATTAACTGATTAAAACCTTTAAAACCAAATCCTAAAGTTGATTTGGGAAAGGTAAAATCTAACTTTCCATCAACTTCCAATAAAACCAGTTGGTGGGGCCCATTCCTATAAGACTTTGCCGAGGTCTGAACACTTGACAAATTCAGCGAGATAAATAAAATGCTGAATATGTTAGTCGGGGACAAAAAATACCGACGTTCCATTAAATTCTCAAGCGAGCTCGGAAACTGGGCAAGTCTATTCTAATCAATTATACTTTACCTCGGTTAAAATACTAAAAATTTATTTTCAATTTTTTGCAATCCGATATTCTCATACTCCTTTAAATAATGTGTCGGATACTTCAGATATATCAAATTCCGAGTTAAAGTGAAAACTATGATACTTATCGCGAGCTCAGAACACTTGCAATAAAAATTACGAATGGAAGAAAATAAAACAAAAGTCATTTCATTCATAATATGTTCAAAAACTATAACAACTACTGCAAACTTCAAAAATTAAAAAAAGAACTAAGNACTTCAAAAAAAAAAAAAAAACTATAAAAAACAAAAAGAAAAAACAGAGATTAAGCTGCGGTTCCAACAACATCCTTCGCAGAAGGGCCCGCTCCATCTTCACCTTGGGTCACATTAATAATTGGAGTTTCTTTAAAACATATCTCCTGAGCCCCACTGGATTCCCCAGTTTTTTAACCGGCCTTAGCCGCCTCCTCGGCATCTGCCTTCTCATACTGTTCGAGCATACTCTTGTCGATCCCCTCTAAAACTCTCTCTTCTTCGGCCTTAGCAGCATTTTCAATCTCCGCGATGGTCACTGGAATACGTTCATCATAGACTGGGTCGTCCTTGGTGACTTCATGTATCTCGGTTGCTGTTGGCTGATTGACTCCTTGAGACAACTCTAGAACTTTTCCTTCAAGGAAAGCAATCACTGCTCTCTGAATTTGCTCAAGAGTCATTTTTTCAATTTCTTCTTCCATATTGACCTCGGCAAGAGTCTTCACATAAATAGCTCGGTCCTCTTTTCCTTCTGGACCTCTAAAAGAATATTAACAAACGATCTGCGGAGGCGAGCATCTCTTTCTTTTCTCAGTGGAGGAAGATGAGGATTCTTCATTTGAGCACCAACAGTGACGAGAAGTCATTCACAAAATTCCTTCTTGTCCTCATCAGCAACAATGTGCATGGATTCAATCTTGGGATTGAAATTATGTTTTTCAAGCTTGCGGAGGAGATAAAGTCGCAATTCCTCAATGTCATAGAGGCCTTAATCAAACCGCTCAATAACCCAGAAGAGATTCAGGCATGTGTTCATTTCAAGTTCCCGATCCTCATCCTCGGAATTGGATTCAACAGTTGCTTTTCCTTTGCCGACCTCGGCCTCGAGTATCCTCCCAGCTCGGAGACCATCATTGTACTTCAGCTCGGCGAATTTAATTTTTTCCTCTTGAAATCTACTGAGGTCGGCACGGTGAGCTTCTCGGCTCTTCAGCAACAATTCTTCAACCTCGGAGCGACTCCTCTGCGTATGTTCACGAGCCTCCTACTCCTTACGAAGCAACTCTTGACACCGGGCAAGCTGATCTTCAAGTGTCTTTGCTTAGATGTAATAACTTGGCTCGACAATTTGAGCACTTCACCATCAAGACCTCTTTCTCGGTTTTCAAAGTAGTAATTTCTCCTTGAGCAATTATAAGCTGCTCGTCTTGCTCAGTAATTTTCAACTTCAAAGTTGCTTCCTTGGTAGTCGCTTCTTCCTTCAGAGATGCAATTGCTCCATCTTGAAGTTCCAGGGTATGCTTCTTCTCGTCCACCTGGGCGGCATTCAATCTAAAATCATCCCCGACTGTGATCAAACTGACGAGCATACGACCGAGACACGCTTTGGCATATTTGAATTTGTAGACACTCGACATCGATGAAACGCAGATCTCGGATCTCGGATCCCACACCATCATTGGGACCCGAATAGCATCAATCACATGGCCGGGTAACTCGACCTTGCTTTGAATGTCGGGAATCTCGACTGACTCAAAAACAGAGAACCACTTTTCAACATTTTCCCCGGGCTGCTTGAAATTCATCGCCCTCTCTTCATCAATTGACAAGATAGACCTGTCAACCAAAGGCTCTTTCTTCTTCTTCTCACACTGATCGACATCATACTTCTTTTTGGATCGTCCCTCACCAACAACCGGGACGCTTTCAACACGTCTTTTCCTTTGTCTTGTCAGCACAATTTCTTGTTCTTCAGCAGCATCATGATCACCCTCAGCTTCATCTGGAATTACCTCAATTATCGGCTGAGTGATCACCCCAGCAACCTCTGAAGTCAGTTTTGGGTCAACTTCACTAGCAACAGCAGTAGCAATAGCTGCCATAAGACCTGTCGTTGCCACAACCAGAGGATTTGGCTGCACCATTTCAACCACAGCTCCCGACATTGCACCATCTCCGACGTCGGCATCCTTGTTCATAATTGGATTCTTAAAAAACGACTTCACCAACTTCTTACGACCCATATCGGATAGACGCTGCTCTTTGATCTTCCCGACTTTAGTTCGAACATCAAGGTTTGGACACTGTTGGCGAGAAACTTTGGCGTCTCTTATATTCTTGAATCCGAGAACTCCAAGAAGTGGATAATACACTACATTTTAAAATATAATTACTCAAGTTATGATCATTTATATGATTATTCGACTTCAAGAAGAAAATTGAAAATACATAACTCAAAATTACCTGGTTGAAAGTACGGATCCGAAACACTTTGACTGCTTTCAATCTTGAATTCTTCAAAATAAGTTTGAAGCCCCGCTGCTCCTTCTTCAACTTAAACAATTCAGCAATCCGATCTTTCAACTCTGCACCGAGTTTCGACTCCTTTGTTCTTCGGGCTGCAAACAGTAAAATCGCTGACCTGTTAGTACAAAAATAAGAAAAGATTCAGAATAACTCGGTACAAAGGACTCGAAGACTTACAATATGCAGAATTAACATTAATTGGGATAGACATCCCGTCAATCAATGGTTTAGAGAAATTGGGAGTTTCTCAATCTCCACCAATCCACAACCACTCTTCTTGAAAACCGTGAAGAGATTCTGGAATCTCGGTGATTAAATCACCAACTTTTAATCCTCCTTGAGGTTTGCCCGAGCAAGTAATGCAAATTAGTGGGTCTGCCACCTGTCTGTCGGCACATCTTCTAAATGTAAAGAGACTCCTTATTTCTTCAGTAGTCGGCATATCCCACTTGTTCTCCTTCAACAAAACCATCAGACCTATTATCCTTTTCCAACTATTCGGTGCAACCTAGCACAAACCGAGACTCCAATCTTGCAAATAGTCGGTAATTAAAGTAAGGAGAGAAAATCTCAATCCCGACCTTAAAGAATCCGCAAACACACCAACACATCCTGGCGGAGGGCATGTTATCATTTTCCCAGGATATGGGGCAAATAGTCATACTGTCGAGGGAACTTGAACTTCCTCTCACAAGAGTGCAATGTCGGCATCGGTCAAGATACTCGGTTCACCCCAGTTCTCATCAATAGGTTCAGGCCACCGACGTGCTGCGGTCAAGATCCTCGGTTCACCCCGGTTCTCATCAATAGGTTCAGGCCACCGACGTGCCGAATGTCTCCCATATTCAGCGAGAGACACAGCGCTATCCTCAACTACCTTATCCTCCTCGATAATATCTTTATTCAAATTAAGTCTCTCGACAAGCAGAGGATCCCATTGATAATATTCAAGAGGCAATTCCAAATCCTCATCACCAAATATCCTATCCTCTGAAATCGTGCGACTACTTCTAACTTCGGCTTACGAAACCATTTTCCGAGACCGATAAAAAAGAAGAAGAAGAATTTTAATCAACACGCGAACAGAAAATAAAAACTTAGGGAAAAATCTTACCGAAAATCTCAACGCCCTAAATTGGAAGAGATGAAAGGATGATCGTGAAAGATGATAATCAAAAAGAAACTCGAGAAATTTAAAGACAGAAGTTAAGCAGAAGACGAAGAGTTCAGAGATTGAAGGTGTAGCGCCCCGTTTATTTATGGATTATATGGGAATTTTTTTATTATTATTATTATTTATTATTATTATTATTATTGTGATGTTGTTAATATTATTTCTTGCCAAATTAAATGTCTAAATATTATATGTCTAATTGTCTATTAAATTTTTAATTGTATAATTTGATAATTAATATTATTATTTTAAAATAATGTATGTATTAAATAAATGTTATATCCGGTTTTATTTTATTTAATTAATTGTGCGATTAAACCGAGCCCGAGAGTTGGATTATTTTGGGCGAAACCGTGTGCGAACCGGCCCGTGAGCCGTTAACCCACCCAATTAAACCGACCCGCTCCAATTAGAACTGGTTCTCTCAAAAATCTGATGCGTGTGGGATTTTTATTTTCTTGCTTGACAAGAATAGTCAAACCTAGGCATTTTGTATATATATATTGCTGTATCTATTAACTTCCTCGGCAAAAATCTCGATCATGCATCTTTTCCACTCTTGAGATTTTCTCTCATCTTCACGCTTCAGAGTTCCTCTCCCACTCTCTGAAATTATTTTCTATCACTCTCACCCTCTCGTCATCTTCTTCTTCTCCTCATCACTCCAGTTGCCGTGATCAACCGTCGCCTGCAACTCCGGCGATTTCCGCGCAACGCCTCCACCAAGCGCCGCCGCCTCCCCGCCGTGAACTAGTCACGCCATCTTGCTCGCAAACTCCTCTCCTCCATCGCAGACAAGCAACAAGTCGCTGCTCCCTTCCCGGCAAGCCCTCCGCCATCGCACCTTTCCGGCTACTCCCTCTTCAGCGGACGTTGAACACGCGACCAACAGGGCCCCGACGACTCGTTTTCAGCCTCTGCGATTACGTGCAGCACCCTCTGTTCCGATCCCGAGCCGCTGTACCTCCTTCGCGAGTCAAGCGAAGCCGCCGAGCACTGCCGTAAGCCACCGCGAGCTCGCCATCACCCTTTTTGTTCCGTTTTTTCGAGCTTTTCCCGAGAACGGTACCTAGTCGATCCCGTCTCGTTAAATTGCGAATATTTGATTGCGTAAAGTGTTTTATTGTCGTGATGTGCTCCTTGCGATTTAATATACGCGATGTGAGACTATGTGAAATCGAATTTATGTGTGTTTGTGTTTTTCGAGATCTCTTCGATTTTAAGGAATCGAGCGAGACCTCGAAACTCGTGTAAGTCGGTGGATTTTAGAACCATGTCGAGTCCTTGGCCTTATGGGAAGGCCTTGGACGAGAAATTTCATGTTATGAATTATGTGTTAAATGGTCGAACTCGATTATCGCTGTTTTAGTGTTTAAATGATTAAAAATCGCACACTGCTCGGATTGCCTTGAAATTTTGAGGGTCATGTCTTATGCTGATATCCAGGCTTCTGTAAATATTTCGTAATTTGTAAAGACCTGTAGTTATTTTTAATAAATAAAATGATTTCTGGTCATAAACATGTTAAAATGCATAATAAATTGGTTCGTGCTTCAAATGTGCTGAAATTTGAGTATGTTATGCCCTGCCATTTTTATATGGGGTGCTAAAATTTTAGAATTTGCGGACTAAGTTTGATGTGGTTAATAATTTATTTTCTGAAACTGCAGGAAGTTGCTTCAATTATGATAAATCGGTTAGTTCTTGAACAATTCTGAAACATGGCTGAGATGCTTGTTCTATGTGAAGATTCATGCTGTTAAAAGATGAGAACTTTTGGAGTTCAATTGTGTTCGATTTTAATTGAAATTTCATAACTGCTGAAACTTGTATGAATTTTTAAAATTAGTACCGTTAATGTCCAGGGCTGAAACTTTTACATGTTGTTCACCCTCATAATTTAGTTTTTGGTGTTAAAATATCAGGTCATGATTCGTTCATTAGGTTTAGATATAAATTTATGTGCGTTTTTGCTGTTATCTTGTATGAATTTTATAAAATGATGTACTTTGGATTTGAGGCTGAAACTCGGTGGTTTTTCAAATTTCTGGGAGGTGTAATTTTAGTTAAAATTTCAGAGTTTAATTCATAGAGCAACCTGACCAACTAATTTTATGTGATTAATGATTATTATTTTCAAGATATGATTTTGAAGTTAAAATCTGTAATTGTCTTGCTTTTCGTTTTGTTGAGTGTTTGACTTGGTCAATCCTCAGTGGGATTTATGTGAACTCCCATATGTGGTTTGGTCGAGTGTAGTGCCGAGTCTAAGTGTTCCAAGTCCACAGGACTTCACGAACAACTTAGTCCAAACAAGTTCGACTAAGTCTGATTTGTGTTTTTCATTTAAGTCAAGATATTGATTGTTGGATCTTGACATAATGTAGGTGTTTGAGGAGTCAAGCCTCGGCCCACGTCTTTTCTGAAATCGCTATCGTCAATCCGAATTACAAGGTGGGTTTGTTATTCTAAAATACGTGTGCAATGTGTGTTTAAATATGTTTTTCTGATTTGGCGTGATCTATGTATGAACGTGAATATGTAGCCTATCGATGTGAGCTATTATGTTGGCCATCGGTACGGTTGTCCCCGTCGATGTAATACGGTTGCCCTTGCGAGGCAAGTCTCCTTAAGACCTATTATGAAAGGCCGTGTCCTTGCGTGGCACGTACTCTCACCGTTAGGGTAATGAATCCCCTTTCCGCGACTATTATGAAAGATGTGTACACAGAAGTATTTATGTTTATGTTATGTTGGATATGAGACATATGTGATACTGTTTATGTTCATGCTGCGACCATGCCTATTTAACATATTATGAAATGTGCATTGCATAGTGTGAGCATTCTTTTACTCTCATGCTCACTCCCACCTGCTCTTAACGGATGCAAGTTAAGCAGTAGCGCGTGACGAGACAAGGCGAGTGGTGGTCATGCTTATTTATTATGCTTATTTAATTGCTTCCGCTTTCTCGTGAACTTATGTTGGTATTGAATACGTTCGATTGGATTTTGGAACTTGTTTATTTTGAAACATTTGGATTTGTTTTATGTTGAAAAACCTTTCTTGATATATGGTTGAGAATATCCTGATGTTTATGTTTACTGTTTATGTGGTTAATGAAAACCGTTGGGAAAAAAAAATCGGGTAATGAATCCCCGTAGTTCAGATATGACTTGAACTGTGATTTGAAAAGAATGAGTAACGGCAAAAAGTTTATGATTCGAAACATAAGTTTTTGAAAATTTTTACCTTGATTTTTGGAAAAGCCATGGATTTTCTATAAAGATCGTTTGGGGCGTTACAGAAGGTAAAAATCTCTCCACAATCGAAAGCGACTCGCATTTATAGTCTATGATTTATGACCGTTGAACAATCCGGAATCGGCACGTGTAACGGACGTGTCCTCAAACGACGTAATGCTTCATTAATCTTTAATACACGTGGGCTAGTCTCAAGATGCCATGTCGCCCTATTATTCTGTTCGTTGCACCCATTAAATGCAGACACGTATTTTAAGGACTGCCACGTCGCCAGAACCGTTACATAATGACGCTTCTTCATCAATAAAAGGTTAGCAACAATACCAAGTGTTTGAAAATCGGTTATAAACAAAAAAAGTATCAAGTCGGAATTATAAGAAATATTGGCGACATCAGCAGCCATTCTGAATACCCAAATACCTACTAATGTTGGGGGCCTCTCTGTTGATGACCGACTTGATTTTCCAAGATTAATTAAAAGATCAATCATTATATCTTCCTAATGGTCCTTTAAATTTATTTCGAGCAACAAACTTAGTTCAACTCGGTGTGACTAAACGACGACCGACTTTGGATAACTGAAGCGATAACCGACTTATTACCAAACTCCTAAGACCAACTTCACACTAAAGACAAAGAAGCCGACCTTGCAACTATTTTTATTGAAGATTATCCTTCAAACCGAGATCCGAAGTGATTGAATTCCAAAGCAGGTAACGTAGTATGCTTTTGATTGGACCATCAAGTCAAAGAATAATCATTAATGTTCCCTCATTACATTACATGCTGCTTTATTGAAGCTGCACAACATTAAATGCAATCTGATCTACCTCGGACAAGAAGAGAAAATTGCCGCACTATAAATAGCGGAATTTATGACTGTACAAGGATCTTTTTCCGCACATTGTACATGGACTATAAAAAATATCTCGGTTACTTACAAAACAGACTTCCAGTACTATCAAGAATCATCAATAATACAAAATTTTACGTTAATTTCCCTTTAAACACACCTTGTTTTTATTTAATTGAGTTGTTAAATTTCGTACAACAATATCTCTCAGTTCTCATTCGAGCTTTTTCTTCTTCTTGTTGCTCCACTGGTACAAGTTGAAGAGGTGTTTGAGTAATACAGTAGAAGATCCAATAGTATTCGAGACTCGGTGATCATCTACAGGAGATTTAAAGGAGCCGACCAAGGTGACCCGCCGGACCGGCGCCGACGAACCACCCCCAGCCTGTAATGCCCCATTTATTTGTGATTTATTTGAGCTATTATTATTATTATTATTATTATTATTATTATTATTATTATTATTATTATTATTGTGATAATATTAATTATTGCTTGCCAAATTGAATGTCTAAATATTATATGTCTAATTGTCTAATTGTCTAAATGATTTATTTGTTATTATTTTATAAATGTGTAAAATATGTATTAATATATACAGATAAATATATTTGTTGTTCGATTTATCGTGCGTTTGATTTTATACCGAGCCCGAGAATATTCGCGCGGATCGAGTCATTTTATTTTGGCAAAATAAATCGGAGAACCCGAGCCCGAGAGCCGAATATATATATTAACGTGCGATTTTATCGAGCCCGATAATTTTCGTTGGAACTGTTTTGGCCCGTAAATATCCGTTTAAATTTTTAATCGAGCCCGTGAGCCGATTTGTTGTCCCAACCGGCCCAAAAATCTTATTGGCCCAAATTTCTCGGGCCCGGCCCGACAGATTTTCTTCCCCTTTTTGTTTTTCACGCGTGAGTCCTTGTCTTGGACAACAAGAAATTTTATTTCTTTTCCCAATCCTAATATACATGTATGAGTGTATACGTATATATATATGTACATCACGTTCTTTTGGCAAAACCTCCCGCAGCTTTATTTTTTTTCTCCTTCTCAAATATCGATCGCAAGTTTGTTCTCTCCTTCCTCTGTGATTTTTTTTTCGAGCGACTCCATCTCCCTCATCACTATCGTCTTCATCATCCTCATCGCGCGATCATCATCGTGCTCTCATCACCATCGCAGCACCTTCGTCGTCATCATCTCGCCCTCATCTCCGGCGACCGAACCAGTCCGGCGACCCTGCTCCGCGTTTTTCCGGCGAGTTCGAGCAGCCCTCCCGCCACGCCGCGACGAACCCCCGCGCCTCGACGAGCCCACCTGCCGCGCCGCGACCCTTCCTTGCCGCGCCGCGAAGCTTCCCAGCGGCCCCGCGAAGTTCTGAAATTTTCCGGCGAGCTCGACGTCCCTTCGAGCAGCGTCCGGCGACCCCTCCATTCCGTACCCGGCGAGCCCGTGAACCAGTACCAGGCTTCCCTCTTCCTC